CCCCCCCCCACCCCCCACCCCTACCCCAAAATCTGCAAGAATCAGCATCATCTTCCCATAATCACACCACCAAAAGAAAAGGATATGAAGATCAAAGTGGCATGATATCTTAACCATTTGAATAAATTTCAGTGGCTGGAGTAAAACATAAAACCAACACTTCGAAGCAAAAACAAACCTTATGAGAGCTGAAGAAGAACATTCATGAAATGGAAGTGGAATGAGCTCCTAGCAAAGACGGTCACTGGTGTAAAACTTACATTAATTATGTTCTTGGTGAAAGTTATTAGCATCTGCAATCAATCTTTCCTCTCTACCCATCCCCAATTTTCTCTACCATGACAGTAGATACCAAATTCCACATTAATCTCTTAGCTGTGTTTCACGGAGTTGCTTAGTGTATGGGATAGTATCAGGTACAAAATCAAGCACCTCTTTGCTAAATTTTCCAATTTTGAAGACACGTAGATTGCACACCGGCTGACACAGCTACCTCAAGACAAATGAAGGATACTATATAACATTAGACTTCAAGGGTTCGTGAACAATACAGTGCCCAAAAACATATATGTCCTTTGGACTGTTTATTGGAAGCCCACCACATTTATGCACAGCACAAGTAATTCTTCGCAGCCCTGTAATACCTCAAGCAAACATTTCATTATTTACCATTTTCTTCTTGAAAAGAGGTGTATAACAAAGTGATCAGTGTTCGTGGTCTCCAGATGCTAGATGTCACTAAAACATAGGTAGGCTAGCAACAGTCTGCAAAACTACATGGGAAGCTCTCAACCATCTACTTAAACTTCTTACATAAAGCGTTACAGTTTCAGAAAAGAAAGAACAGTTTTTTTTTATCATATTACAATCTCAGTTCTCTTTAAGAACTACATTGGGTTGCATAGTGTTTCGAATTTAAGGAGTAGGAGGGCCAAGAAAGTTTTCTTGGTAAAGTCAAGGCATCGGGTGCTAGACTGCCAGTCATGGCTTGACCAGATATTGAGTCGTGACAACTTTCAAGAGATTTAAGTAGGGGATTGTAACTGGAAAGCACCAGCAAGGACTGCATCCTAAATAAAACCTTTTTAGTTGCAGCAAAAGACCGCACCACCACGTTCTATTAATTAGGACTCTTTTTCCTCATTATGCCTAAGAACAAACTAAAATCTGAAGTCATAACCTGCAGGTACATGATCCTAGAAAGGAAATCACACGAAGGAGGCAAAACTGCAGAGGAACTGTAGGAAAAAAGTCTAGTGAAGATTAAATTTAAAGTTTATATATCCTTGATCCACATTTGTAAACAATTGTTGTTGCAATGATTAACATAATCTGTACCACAATAAGAGGTAAAGTTAAAAGTGCTAACTAGAAAAAAAGATGCATCCCCAGGTAAGAGCAAGTGGATGTTTTCTGTGCCACAAACTATAGAAGACAATACTTAACCTTAAAGAGTACTTGATCATAAAGTAGAAACCAGATAAATATCACTTCGAAATTGCATGAACTTGTAACTATAATATCCAAACTAGGGGCGGAGCTAGGCCAGTAACTTTTTTGTAGATTCTGTATTTGTATTGGAAAATTGAATAACTATATATGTATATTAACTTGTGAACTCCTAAAAACTGACTTGACGGCTCTGTGGTAACGATTAGACCATGAAAACACTTTCCACGATAGTCCAAACTCCTAATCCTGGCTCCGCCTCTGAATTCCAAACCTTACCCCAACAACACCAAACAAGAAATTCAACAAATTTGAGAAACAAACTTAAAACTTACAATATTTTTGCTCTCATAGTAATCATCTAATGCCCACTGATACTTCGACTGATTCAATCCAAACCAGTATGCCACTTGTTCATCCAAACTCGCATGAGCTATAAAAATCCATATACAAATTAGAAATCAGTACAGCAAAAACTAAGTAACATAAACTGGAAAAAGGAACAATATTCATGAAATCAAGATCTGAAAATCTAGAATAGAATAAAGTTACAATCTTTTTAAAAAGATAGGGCAAAGCAAAAAAGGTACCATTTTGAACTTTAGCGACAGCGTTCCAGAAAAACCCAAAAGAAGAGTGAGAGGGTTTATCATACTGCATTGGAGGAGACCAAACCGGACATGACTTATCGACCACCTGAACCGGTGGTGTTTGAACCGGTTGCAGCTGAACTGGTGGTGGTAGCTCGGTAGAACCGGATTTGGGTGTGGGTGGAGGGGTCATGAAAACCGTGTATGGCCCGATCTTACCGATCCTCGGAGGAGGAGGTGGAGGAGAAGTACATTCAGTGTTAATGGCCATTTTCAAGTAATTTTGCTAACAAATTTGGGAATGAAAGGCCTTGCTTGGGGTTTTAAGGAGTGAAATCTCTATTTACTATCTTGTCACTCCTTACAAATGAATTCGACCTCTCGGGTTTGAGTGCTTTAGTATGTTAAAAAGCGTTTTATCTTTGATATAAATTTTTTTTGTGTAAATTTAAATTTAGTTAAATTTCAATATGGATATTAAATACTGGGTGCAAACAAAAAAAGGTCAAATAAAGTCATCACTCATTACACATTTTCTAAAAATTTATGAATTAATACAAAAAAAAAAAAAAATCAAGGTAATTTTGAATTTCTATTTTATGACTTCAAATACTTTTTTTTAAATGGTGTTTATATATAAGAAATAATGAGTATTTTACTAGTTCATCATAAATGGACTCACAAAAATTTGAAATTAAATAGAGTCTGTCAAATATATTCCAAATTTTTTGTGAATTAAAACATACGAAAAATTGAGAAAATTATCTAATTTTTGTTAAGTAATCTCTAAATTCTAAAAATAAAATGGTGTGGATCATGTAGAGGCTATACATATTGTTCCCCACGTCATTATAGAAGGTTCTGTAAAGTTTTTGCAAAAAAAAAAAAAACTCGTGAAAATCATATCACCGAAAAATTCATGTAATACCATACATAAAAAAAACTAAGAAAATCATCTAATTCATGTTGAGTAGCTCCTAAATGTTGAAAAAGTGGTATGGATCATGATTAGGCAATATGTAATTTCCCTCGGGTCATTACGGAGGGTTTTGTAAAGTTTTTGTTAAAAAAATCATGGAAATCCATATCACCAAAAAATTAATGTAGTGAATACACAAAAAAAAACTGAAAAAATCGTCTAATTCATGTTGAGTAGCCCGTAAATGATAACAAAAAAAAAGTGCGTATCATGATGATACTATATGTATTATTCCCCAGGTCATTATGGAGGATCTTGTAAAGTTATTTGCAAAAAAGTGTTAGAAATTTATATTACCAAAAATTCATGTACTAACGCACATGAAAAACTAAAAAAGTCTAATTCCTGAGTGTCCCCTAAATGATAAAAAAGAAGAAGGCGTAGATCATGATGAGGCTACCCATATTATTCCCCTAGGTCATTATGTAGGATCCTTTAAAGTTTTTTTTGCAAAAAAAGTGCCCGAAATTCATATTACAAAAATATTCATGTACTAACACACATGAAAAACTAAACAAATCGCCTAATTCCCTGTTGAGTTGAGTGACCGCTACATGCTAAAAAAGTGTCATGGATCATGGTGAGGCTATAGATATTGTTCCCTGAGGTCAATACGGAGGGTCCTGTAAAAAATTTACAAAAAAAGTGCCTGAAATTCAAATCATCAAAAAGTTCATGTACTAACACACGAAAAACTAAGGAAAACACATAATTATGTCAAGTGGCCCTAAAATGTTAAAAAAGTGGTGTGGATCATGATCAGAGTATTGTTCCCACATGTCATTACCAAGGGTCTTGAAAAGATTTTTGCAACAAAAGAGTTTGAAATCTATATCATCAAAAAATTCATGTACTCACACACGAAAAATTAAGAAAATTGTCTAATTCTTGTTGAGTGTCTCCTAAATGCTAAAAAAGTGGTTGGATCATGGTGAGACTATATAAATGGTTCCTCCATGTCATTATGGATGGTCCTGTAAAGTTTTTTGAAAGAAAATGTCCAAAATTCCAAAAAAATCATATACTAACACACACAAAAAAATGCGTTGTTTATATATTTTTGTTGAGGAATATATTTGATTTGATTGTAAACTTTGACGGTCTCATCATATAAGAAATATTTAACTAGTGATAATATCAGGTTCTAGTGAACGTTTTTAAGGATAGTTAGTTTCTAGGCGAAACCCACGGCAAGCCCCCAAAAAAGTAATGAAAATTTTAGAATCTTGTAGTCATAAATTAAAGATCGAGGTGTATAACATATCAAAATATCGTTTCAGTCTTGTGGTCTTAAACATGTCAGACAAGATGTTGGAATTGAAGTATCGGTAAAATAGAAAGTGACATTCTTAAAAATTAAAGTTTACACTTTTACATATACATTTAGAAGACCAAAATTCTACATGAACAAGATAGATTTCTCTATTCACCTTTCACATTGTTAAAAATGTACCTCAAGCATGATTGAGTCCATTGGTGTTTTTAGCTTGTTGCTCCTCCGAGACGATTTTCTTCCAGAACCAATGCTTTTCCCAAAGACGCATCATTTCTTCAATCGGAACTCCCTTTGTTTCGGGCAAGAAGAGATAGATGAAGATCGTCATGATAGCAATCCAACCGGAGAAAAAGAGGAAAATCCCGAACCTCATAACACATAAAAGTGAGAGGAAAGATTGTGCTATTGCAAATGTGAAGAACAAATTCACAGTAACTGTGATACTTTGGCCTGCTGATCTTGTCTCTAAGGGGAAAATTTCACTTGGCACTGTCCATCCAAGAGGCCCCCATGAGTATCCAAATGCAGCTACAAAGAGGCAAATGAAAACAACTACTATAATCGAGTAACCTCTTGATAGCTCCTTGTCACTACCAAATTTGAGTCCCAAGATTATCGCAACAATAACCTGTAATAAGGATAGCAAATTATCTTTTATATGATATAACCGATCAATTTAACTTCTATATACTGACAGTGACAAAACTTGGCCTCAGGTGATAGGTAAACGCTCAAACTTTGAGTATGTAGATCTATGACACCTCACACCTCAACTCATCTCCATTGTGTTAGTTGAACATTCCAACTTACAAAATGATCATCTAGACACCTATAAGATTTATGTGTCACGTCAGTGTCCGAGGTCCACGAAACATAGACGAGTTGGAGTGTTTAGTTGTCAGTTGAGAACAAGTTGAGGAGTCTAGATGTGCACTCACAAAGTTGAAGTGCTTACTTGTCAGCTGAGGCTAAGTTCTTGTGTTTGTATAGCATTACGCTTAACTTCTATATAGTGACAGTGAAAAAACTTTTACTACAGATAGATAACTATACAAGGCGGAAGAACGATGTACTTCAGAAATTCTAAAAAGATCAAGCAATGTGAGCCTTAGGTCCTGTCGTTCTTGATTGTGAATCAAGGCGAAAGGTCGGATGTACTTGTTCAGGTCTGGTCATGAACAAAATGATGACATTCTTTTTGCTATAGAAAGGAGAAGGGAAAAGGCCAATTTCCTTCCCGAAAGATTTGGTTAGTTTGCATAGATTTCTACTTACCTTAGGCGAGTTTCTTGCCTGACGAAAAGAATTACAGATAACAGTCCGTAAAAGTGGAAGAAGTAAGTAGAAAATCTTTACCTGGCAAATGATCATTTGGATTCCACCGGTAATAAGAAGAATTCTTCGACCCCATCTATCGACAGTGGCCATCGATACAAGTGTAGATGAAGCAAGAACTGCACCAGTCAAAGCAGAGGAATACAGAGAGGCAGATCTTTTAAACCCCATACTCTGAAACAATACTGGGGCATAAAAAAGTATGATGTTAATGCCTGTAAGTATCTGAAAAGTCGGCATCAAAATCGCCATAATTAACTGCGGCCTGTTTCTCCTTTTAAGAATGTTTCTAAACGGATGCTTAACCAAACGTGCTAATTCACTTGCATCCACCATGTCTTCGAATTCTGCGTCTACATTCTCGGTTCCTCTTATCCTCTCTAAAACACGTCTTCCTTTAGTTTTGTTTCCTTGTTCTATTAAGCTGTTCGGTGTCTCGGGAAGAAGCATGCCTCCCACTGTCATAACGAAAGCCGGCGCTGCTGCTAAGCCTAATGAAAGTCTCCATCCCCATGGATGGAGTTTACTTGTTCCATAGTTTATCATGTTTGCTGTAAAGATTCCGAGCGTTGTTGCTAATTGAAACATCATGTTCAGACATCCTCTTAGGTGTGCTGGTGCCATCTCTGATAAATACAACGGAACTGCCTTCAAGAAGTGACACAGAGTTGAAACATTTATCTTTAAAAAGTTCCGAGTAACTTTTATGAGTTTAACTTGTATACACTGACAGTATAAAAGAATTTACGTACTATCCAATCACCTATATTACAAGTAATTGTATATTAGTATGCTGAAAACAAGGCATGCTACCTTGCTATAGCATGCTAAGATACAGTGATAGTGTTAAAAATTGTCTCGAACACGAGGCAATGTGATTTGATTCTTTTTCCAATTTCATACTTATTCATTTCTCTCAGTCTTACGAGAAGACAAACATGTGTGATTCAAGAAAGTTCTTTATAAAAATCTATGCTTATTGAAGGTAATCCATCTTTTAATTTTTGTATAAATAACTTAATATAGCCGGCATGGTCGGTGAGGATTCATATAACTGGTCTGAACTTGCTTGGGATTGAGGCGTACTTATTGTCGTAAACAGATAACAGAATAGGAACACGTAACAACTAAATTTCAAGGTGAATTACCTGGTTGCCAAAGCCAATGCCAACACCTAGCATAATTCGTCCGAAAAGAAGCATGCCAAGGTTGATAGCAGCGGCATTAAGAACTGCTCCAAGAAAGAAACTAATGCCACCGCATATTATACTTGCACGACGTCCATGATTCCTTGTGATAGGAGATGCTACCAGAGATGCAACTAAACCAGCCATGTACAAAGACGAGGTAAATGCAGCAAGAACTTGGTTATTATACTTGCAATAGTTGTCTTCGTGGACGTGCTGCTTCTTTAGGTATACAGAGTAGAAGAATCGTCGAAGAAATTCATCCATCGATGTCACTCCCCCTGTTATCTTGCATGCAACGAAGATATATTTAAGTAAATAAGTGTCTGTCCTCTAACAATTTATAGTTTCAGATTAGATGGTCACACATTAAATTCAACATAGTATCAAAGCAAACAAACAGATCACAGATGTCCTTCGTTTGAATCTCTAAGCTTTAGATGAAATTAGTCGAACATTTCAACATTAATGACGCAGTTCGTTTACTCTTCAAATGGAAGTTCAAGAAGTTCCAGAGACTAACTGTAGAGTAGTCATAGCCATCCAGCCCAGTCTGCCGGAGGGGCAGGTGTAATTCATGCTAGAATTTTCCAAAAAATACAGCT